ACCCGGCGTGCTCCGTCCCGGCTTTGTAGGGATGCGAGGTCAATGGTCTAACGACTACGGCATGCACGACTATGAGTACACCCCCCCACTTCTCGTGCTGTTGATAGAACCGACCTTTGGTGTCGGTATCTTATGCACCCCTACGGTACTATTGGCGCATGCATACCTCTAGATTCATCTCGCGGGCTTCCGTCCCATCTACTTGACTGCCAATTGTATATACAGAGGGCTCCGCGCAGGTCTGTTCACGAGGGTCTGCTCATGACTGTTTAGGCCTGACCGGACGTTGAACCTTGCTTCCTCCCCGTGGTCGACCCAACCCAACCCTAACCTGGTGTCTAATCCTACACGGACGGCCGAAGCGCCCGCGAACTGGGTAAGAACCGACCGCCCGAACCAACGCTTGACAAATTGGAGTGCGTAACATCCCGTACATGGGAAAATAGAATATACTCACCAGCAGAGCGCAACAATCTGTATAATGTTTCTATCTACTATACCCTCACGCGCGGCCAAAGCGGCCGCGAAATGGACGAGAACGCGGCTGCGCCGGGTGGTCGGAATGCGGAATAGAGAGAGGGCGCTGGAGAGGAATCGACCGCCCGAAGCTGTGCTCGGCCAAGAAGAGCGCGCAAAATCCCGCAGATGGGAAGGAGTCACACCAAAAGAGGGCGTAATAACTGCTGTGAGATGCATGAACATGTACAGACGCTTTTGTACTCAGCGCCAGCTGGTGTCGCTGGTCCATTTCAGTGTATGCTGTATATGGGCTTAAAGAGACTCGAAATAAGGCCAGTTTCTAGCCGGGGCTCTCGCCACTCACTGAAGGTACTCGAGCGTATCCCTTGCGACTGTGGTTGTGCCTGGAACGGAAATTGTCTTTCTGTGATGTATCTTTTCGGTATATTTGTTCTAAAAAACTGCCACAGGCTCAAGAAAAGTAAAAAGGAACTTCCCAACATAACATACAGATAGATACACAAGATGGCGACCAAACTGCCTTGTTGAGCCTGTTACCCACAGGGGAGATATCGTTGTATGCTGTCTGGGAAACCGTAGACATACAGGTAGCTTCTCGCTCACGCTATGGATTTGTTGTGTGAGTAAGAGTACAGGCTAAAGAAGAGAGAACAAAAACAAAAAGGGATCCCAGCGTATCCATATGATCTGGTGAGATTCATTAAGAGAACCGTAAAAAATATAAGCGTACGATCTGTTGGACTGATTTTTGACGCATCAACAGATAGCCGACGAGATGGCCCACGAGCGTTTTGTGAGAAACGAGCCTCGAGCAAAGTTGTTCAAAGTCGCAGGTGGCTTAAAGATTTCACACCCGCTGGAGAGAGTTTCATAGACCCACAGCAACCCAGAGTGGTGGGGGCGTCAAAATCACATCGTCTGGACTACGTATGCATCCGCTTCGTCGTGAAGTACCGTACATGGCACGAGATAACACACCCCCTGGACCGAAAACGGTGGCGTTGAAGCCCTCCGGTCGAGAGCTCTCTGAAAGTGTATCCTTTAAAAATCGGTCCAGGGTATGTGTTACCTTGTGTCATATTCGGCAATCGAGCTTCGAAAATCAGTCCAGGTAGTGTTCATGTCTTTGTTTGCCCTCGCCAGAGGCTCTCAAAAGTGGTTGGGGGGTAGGTATTGCGGGGTCGTTGCTCATCCTTTTTTGGTGTTTTATTTTATTTTTCTTTAGCCAACGACACGAGGAATGCGTCTCCATCTATCCACAGAAAAGAGTCTTGAGATAGATTAGCAATGAGTTCACAGCGTCAGCGGAAGCTACTTTTAGTACCTGCATTTCGTCTCATTTTCGCCTTTCTGTCCGTTTTGTGGCACAATAGATCCGTCTCTATCTCCAGAAAGGGGCCTTAACCCCTTTGGGTCTAGCTCTTTTTTTTTTTTCGGCAACGAAAAAATTGGGAGGAGGACAGAATGCGGGAGAGAGAGACCGAAGTTGCAGAAAAGACGTGTATACTTCTGTAGACGGAACAGCTATCTCCACCCATAGGCCATGAGGGCTGCCCGCGACGGGACGTTGGGCACATACAGGGTCATGGAAGGGTTGACATGTGGTAGCGGTGCGCCCGGTAGGGCAGGTTAGGCTTGTAGACCTCGAAAATATCAGTCGTCAAGCAGCCTAAACTAGTCTATATTCAGTATATTCAAATGATCAGTGAAAATGATCAGTGAGAGGGCTTGTAGACCCATAGCTGGTTCTTGTACTTCTGCACTTCCCTGTCCCCTCCCCAATATGAGCCCTGCCGGCTCACTACAGCTCCTGTGATTTTCCCGCAATTCCCACAAGCACGCAGGCACACCACAGCACGTACCTACCTTTGCATCAGTGGCTCTCCAGGTTCGGGCGAGGGTATGTGTAGGGCTACGATGATAGTGTATGTGTTACTACTGTATGTTGGACTCGTCTATACTGCCGCTGCTGTTAAGTGTAGCTGCTGACACGATGACTGCTGGATCTTGGGAGCGTACGATTTTCAAATTTGGAGGATATGCAGCATACCACGATCATATCCTGGCCTGGTTGGGCTTGAATCGAAGTGCCCCTATTCGCTGTCATCCTGTCTTTCCTTGAGTGGCTTCCTAGATTCGGGCGAGGGCATGTATGTGGAGCTATTGATGTGTGCCTCTGTGAAAGGATATGGCGAGAGATTCATGGGGGCATTTGCATATAGAGCAGCGTACATTGTTCGAATTTTGGCCGTTCCAGGGACCTGATATTTCCCGGTGGCACTGCCGTGACGTCTTTGCATTGGTCACCGCGTGGCGCGGTCGATGCGAATAATAAAGACACACCTACCTATTGACTTGACTTGCCAACACCTGGCGTGGAGGGATACAGGGCAACGACTCCATGGCATGCCACGACCCCATCACTTGCAAGTCATCAATCGATGATCAGTCAGGACACCTGTAGACCCAAAAGGGTCAAGACAAATTAGCAGTGGATTCATGGCGTCAGCGGAAGCTACTACAGCAGTAGCGGCTACGGTTTAGCACAAGATGTTTAACAGGGGTGAACTGGCTTGGCACGGCCAAAATCGGTTTATTAGAACATTTGTCACATTTCTGAGATTTTCTGTTAAATTGAACCTGTGGAGCCTTCGTCACAGCCATCACACACACACAGCGGGCAGTCGCTGCACAGGTGTCCCCTATCGCACGCCAGGCCCGAGGCGTCTGCGGGCAGTACCTCCATGGCGCGTGCGGGATTTCCTGCGTATTTTGCACACGGTACCTGCGTATTTCACGTTACCATGAATATTGTATGATACCGTAGCCAAAACGGTTTATCAGAAGTGCCGATGTAACAGAGGAATTTGGGCTTGTCACGACCATTATTGTCTTATTTTTTCTTTTCTTTTTATAATCCCACACGCAGCAAACGAGGGAACGATAGCTTCGTCGAAAGCGTCTTCTCCGACAGCGAGGACGACGACCACGACGTGTCTTCTGTGACTTCTTCCCGGAACGAACACCGTTCGCGCTCGCCGCCCTTGCCAGGAGGGGGGGGGGCGATCGCAGCAGCAGCAGCAGCAGCAGCAGCAGCAGCAGCAGCAACCGATAATTACTCTGCGGAACCCCTTGGGCAACAACAAGCCGGGGGCGCCGGGAAATCATTGATCGGCGGTGTCGACCGTACCCCCGTGGTGGGTGTTGGGCCGTCGGACACCGGTGATGGTCTGGGGGGGGACAGCACCGCTGAGCTGTTCGAGCGGGGTGGTGGTGTCCGAGATAGCCCGGTCGGCTCGGGAGGGGATTCGTCCTCGCTGCTGCCCGGCAGCGGTAGCAGGGCTCCGGTAGAGGAGGGTGAGGGAGTTGGGGTCGGCGACAAGAACGGCGGAGGCGTTGGGGTTTCCGTGGACAGTGACGATTACGATGGCCAGGGCAAGCCGTCAGCAGCAGCAGCAGCAGCAGCAGCTCTCGATGAGTTAACCCCCGGCCCCGCCGCCGCCGCGGCCCGGCGCCCTTCCCCCCTACGTTTCGTCCCGGGCATCCGGGGGCGCGCCGTCAGCGGCCTCAGCAGCGGCGGCAGCAGCGGCGGGAGGAAGAGGCAACAACAGCAGCAACAGCAGCAGCAGCACCGCCTCGTGCTGTCGTCGAACTCCTCCGCCTTAGGATTCGACTCCCCGGCCGGCCTGGTCCCCCCCTCCCCGGCGGGAGCGGCCACCAGCACACGGAGCAATGGCGCATCCGCCACCGCCGCCGCTGCCGCTGCCGCTGCCACCGGTTTGACCGGCTTTGCACCCATCGAGGCGTTATCGTCGGCAGCGGGTGGGGTAGACACGGCAATGGCGGCGTTGCCGCCACGGCTACGACGCAAGGCTCCCTCCGAGTCTAACCTCGGAAGCGCCGGAGGCGGCGGCGGGGGCGGCGGCGGCGGGGGCGGGGGCAGCGGGGTGAGCGGCAAGAATTTGACGGTGAGCTCGACCACCGAGCTGGAGGAGAAGGGGATCGCTGGCCGCGCCAGCTCGCGAGGCGTGGCGGGCAGCAAACGGTAAGGGTTTTTTAGGAAGAACCTTATTGCTCGTTTCAAGGGAAAACCGTCTTCTTCCTCGTTTCAAGGAAAGACCTTATTATTTCAAGGAAGAACCTTCTTCTTCCTCGTTTCAAGGAAATACCATCTCTTTCGAGGAAGAACCCTCTTCTTGCTCGTTTCAAGTAAGACCTTCTTCTTCCTCGTTTCAAGGAAGGACCTTGTCTTTGAAGGGAGAACCTTCTTCTTCCTCGTTTCAAGGAAGAACCTTGTTTTGCAAGGGAGAACCTTCTTCTTACTCGTTTCAAGGAAGGACCTTCTTTTTCGAGGAAGAACCTCCTTCTTGCTCGTTTCAAGGAAGAAGCCTCTTCTTGCTTGCTTTTTTTTCTCGTTCTCTTTGCGCTTTTCGTGAATACATACGATGTGCGAACCTGGTAGGTAACAACTCCCCCCCGCCCTTGTGCTTGATGTCTGACACGCATGCTGTAGGTTGCATACGTAAGATATCACACCCGCTGGACCGATTGTCGAAGCTCGATTATCGGCAGGAAAAGCCGTGACAGTGCCAAAAATGGCGGCGTTTGAACCGTCTCGTCGAGAGCTTTCCAAAAACACCTCCTTTGATGTTTCGGCATCCTCTTCGTCGTGGAGTAATCGAGCTCTGGAAATCGGTCCACGGGGTGTGATGTCTTTCGCATGCAACCTACGGTAGCACGAGCTCTGTTGTTATTCTTCTCCCTCGCTTTTGCTTTATCCTTTGCGACAGCCATCCAGGCCTTGGGAGAGAGTGCGAGCTTTGGTTTGTGTACCCGTCTTCGTTCTCTATTCCCCCTGCACATCTGAAAGATGGATTACACTAACAGTTATACCAAGAAAAACAGCGTCGTGGAAGGCATAACATAGCGGCAGGAGCAGATAAAGGGCGAAAAGAGCGAGAGAAGACGAACGAACAAGAAACCATCGAGACATACGAGGACCGCGAACAACTCGAAGAAGTAATGAACGAGCTCGTGATGAACATAACTTCGCTCGACAACGTCCACACCGCCGAGATTTCATTCATGCATGTAACCTCAGCGGTGTGGGCGTTGTCGAGCGAAACTGTGTATATGACGAGCTCCTTTTGTTATTTCTGCGCGCTGTTGATTGTCCCGAATATTTGGCTGGTTTTCTGTTTGTTTGTCTTAGCGCGCTCTTTTCGCCCTGTAAGTGTGCTCTTGCCATACCGCTCTTACTTCATTTTTTCTATTTTATTATCTCTCATCGATTCTCCGCTTCTTTGTGTTTCTCTCTCTCTCTGTGTGTGTGTGTCTCTCTCTCTCTCCATTCTCTCTAATCTCTCCAATCTCTCCAATCTCTCCGTGCTCGTTCTTGCGTGTGTGTGTTGGTTCCCAAGGTTCGCCCCTTCCTCCGGAGGCAGCAGCACTACTAGCACCGCCGCCAACACAAGCTTCAGCGTCAGCCCATCCACCTCTCGGTGGTCGGCGCAGTCCACCCCCGACCGCCCTCCCGTCCCCGGCAGGCACTACAACAACAACCCACCTACCCCCAGCGGGGGGGGTGGTTTAAGGAGTGTCACCGGTGCCGGGGGGGGGAGTGCCGGTACCGGCTTGTCGCTCAGGGGGGCGCTGCTGCCCCGCCCGAGATCTATACCCGGCGGCGGTGGCGGCGGCGGCGGCGGCGGCGGCGGCGCGATTCCCTCGCCGTCGGCGCCGCCGGGGAGTAGCGGCCAGCAGGGTGGCCGGCGTCAGCGGCACCGGTTGACGCGGTCGGGTTCGTTCGGCTGCATGCTTAGCCGCGGCAAGCGGGCCTTGTTTTCCTCGGGGTCGGGGTCGTTCCCGCTGATCTCTCCGTCCGTTTCCGCCGCAGGCGGCTGCGGCGGCGGCGGCGGCGACGATGCCGCTTCCCGGGCTTCGGCGACCGGCCCGGCGGGGGAGGACGGCCCGGTCCAAGCAACCCCGCTGCTGTCTTCCTCTTCGGCAGGAGGGGGAGGCTGGGGCAACAACAACAGTAACAACGCCACCGTGAGCAGCAGCGGGGGGGACAGGAGGGGGCGGCGGCTTCGCAAGTGCCGGTCGCACGGCGTCACCGAGGCGTGCGACGTGAGCGGTGGTGGAGTTTCCGTCGCGAAGCAGGAACAGCAGCACGGTGGAACGGCAACGGCAGGCAGCTCACGCACCAGCAGCAGCAGCAGCAGCAACAACCGCAACAGCAACAACCGGCGGCCGAGGAGTAGGAGCAACAGCGACAACAACGCCAAGCGGGGCGGCGGCTTGCCGGGCGGTCTCAATGAGGCGTTCAGCTCCCGTCCCCGCTTGGCGAAGGCCTTCCTGCCTGGAGCCGTCGGCTGGCCCGCGACGTTCTCGCTTGGCCGCAAGGGAACGATGGCCCCTCCCGCCGACGATGCCGTGTTAAACCCGCCGCCCCCCGGTTTGGCCTTTGCCGCAGACACCACCGCCGCCGCGTTCGTCCCTCCGCCGCCGCCGCAGCCGCCGCAGGCGGCGCCGGCGCCGGCGGGTTGCAGCGGCGGCAGCACTCCGACAGCAGCGGCGGTCGATGGAAAGAGGAGCCCGACTGGCGGCGGTGCAGCGTGGATCGGGCCCATGCTCCGACGCCACCTTAGGCGCGGGAACCGATCAGGAGGATCGGGGGGCGGCGTTGTTGTGCCCGCGTCGGCGGAGAGGGCGGCTGATGCCGCCGATGCTGTCGTCGAACCCGCGGCTGGGGCTGCGGCTGCTGCTAGCGTTGAGGAAGACCTCACAGTGGTGCCGTCGGGTCTAATGAGGCTCCCGCCCCCGCTCTCCCTCGAGAAGGCCAAGGAGTTGCAGCGGCGTTCCTCCTCCTCCGCTCTGGCGGATGGCAGCAGCGGGTTGCTCGGTTTCGCCGACGAGGGGAGATCTGTTAACAACGGCAACAACAGCAGTGTCGTCCCCGCTGTGGAATCGTCGAGGATGCCGACGGCGATCGACGGCCCCACGGCCGCCGCGGCGATGGCGGCCGGCTGGAAGTGCTCGGGCAAGCAAGGTGCGGCCTTTGCCGTCGTCGTGGCACCAGGAGATGAAGAGGATGAGGACCACCACCAGCGGCAGCAGCAGCATCACAGACGGCCGCATTCTATCGACTGGACTGGGGCCCCGCAGGTGGTACCCGCCACTACCGCCCTCCCGGATGTCGACGTGACCCCTTTGTGCACGCCGCTCAACGCCGTGCGGTGCGGGGCTGGGGCGACGGCGGCGGAGATGCCGTGGCCATCGGCGGCGGCGACCAGGAGGCTTCCCAGGGAGGATCACCGGCAGGTGGGCCGTCGGGGGCAGGTGGGGACCGTAGTGGCCGAAGAAGAGGAGGAGGAGGAGGAGGACGGGAGCGAGGAAGAAAGCGGGAGCGGCGAGGACCGTGAAGTATCGACATCAGAGAAAGAGGAGGAGGCGGAGGACGGGCGTGCACCGGGGGAGGAAGGGCGAGACGTGCTCGAAGCACCGCCTTATTCGCAACGGCAGCAGCAGGAAGTAGGGGTAAAGGACGCGGTTTTCTCGGCCGCCGCCGAAGTGTCGGCATCTCTGTCTGAAGACGACGACGACGATAGCGAAGGGGGAGAAGACAGCAGCAGCAGCAGCAGCAGCAGTAGCAGCAGCGGCTTCGCTTCTGCCAACGCGAGACCATCAGTTGTCAGCGCTGCGGCTGCTGCCGCTGCCAGCGACGACGCCACTGCGACCGTCGTCGGCGATTCAACGTATCAAGTGGAGAGCCGATCAGCAGCAGCAGCAGCTCGTTGTTGTTCTTCTTCTTCCGCTGACGTCATCATCAAATTGCCCGATGAGCCGATTGCGGCGGGAGCTGCTCCGGTACGACTGCGATCACTACAGAACGCGCGGCAGCCGCTGGAGCGGCGACCGGCCCCCGAACAAGAAAACTCCAAGAAGGAAGGGGGGTCCGCGGAATCCAACGATTCGCCGTCGCCCCCTCCCCCTGCTCCGGAGGAAGGCTCCCACGACGAGGCCAACAGCCGGGACTATCGCAGAGGACGCTGTTTTCCGCCGGAGAGAGGAGTAGTCGTGAACACCGTGACCGCAGGCACCGAACGGGCCAATGCAACCGACGGGACGGAGGAGAAGGAGGCGGCGGCGGCGGTGGGGGTTAGCAGCACCCTCGAGGCGCAGGATGAGGATGAGAAGGATGAGGAGGAGGACCAGCTGGAGCACGCCGGGCAGGGGCAGCGACAAGAACGGCAGCGACGACCGCCGCCCGTCGGGGTCGGAGGAGAAGAGCTCGAGCTCCTCGACGCCAGGGAGGTGCTGGGCGCGGAGGGCTTCGACGTCGAGAACAGCCCCGTCTCCCTCGCGGGGCGTCTGGCGGTCCAGCAGCTGTCGGCGAGGAGCCTGGCACGGAGAAAGGATTCTCTCTCGGGGACGGGGGGGCTCGCGGGATGGGCCGCCGGCGGCGGCGGCGGGGGGGGCACGCCGGGGAACGCGTTCCGCTTAAACTCAGCCGGAGTATCCAGTCGTCGAAGGATTAGTGGGGACGGGAGGGTAGACGACGAGGACGGGTTCTCGACAGCAAGGGAAGCCACTAACGGCGGTGGGCGGAGTAGCAAGTTTTTCTGCCTTGATCGGGGGTCTTCCTGGCGTTCGATCGCCGAGAGCGTCGGTTCTTGTGGCGGCGGCGGCGGCGGCGGCGGCGGCGGTGGCGGCATTGCTGCCGCGGTAGTTGCCGCTTACGCCGGGAGCGCCCCTAACAACGATGCGGATAGCTCTGCTGCTGCTGTTGCCGCCGGAGGTGGTAGTACCCAGCGGGCGAGGTTTTTCACCGCCGAGGACGGCGCGGAGAAGAAGCTTATCGCCGAACAGATCGAGGCCCTCCGCCGTGTTGGCGACGATACCGCGGCGCAACTGCTACCGGTTCGCGCCGCCGCCCCATCGCCTGCCTCCTCCTCTTCCGTAGCAACAGCCGCAAGAGGACCCACTTCGGCGACCGGTTCCAAAAACGCCTCCTTTGTGACTACCCTGTCGGGCGGAACGGGAGCGGCGACGAGATCGTCGTCGACGTCTGCTGCTGCTGCTTCTTGTAACGGCGGCGGCGGGCATGGCCGTGGTGACGCTCGCGGCGGGGGCGTGAGCCGCCGAAGGGGCGGCGGCGGCGGCGGCGGCGGCGGCAGCGGCGGGGGTGATGACCGGGGGAGCGGGGGTAGTGGCGACGGTCGTGATTGTGGTGGTGATTTTTGCGGATCAGGGGACGAGGAAGAAGAGGACGCCGGTGAAGACGATGGCGAGGAGGAGGACGAGGAGAAAGAGAAAGCGAAGGCGGCGCCTGCGCCGCCGTCGGGGGTAGGGCTTGCGTCGGACTTCTTTGCTGAGGCGGTGCTGGAAGAGTTTACGGTTGATGATGGGGAGGGCGCGGCTGAGGCGGCGGCGACGCCGGCGGCGTTGGCGGCTGCTGGGGGTGGTTCTGCCAAGGCAAAAGCCGCAGCTCCTGACGTGAGCAACGAGTGTCTTGACAATTGGTGGTTCCTATATGGATGGTGAAAATAGCTGTGGTCCGTCTTATAGTGGTGGACCGTCTATAATATGGTAGTATGTCATTATACTGGCGGTCCGTCTTTGGTTATAGTCCTTCTGTATTGCCGGTGCGGCCGGCGGCCAGTCAACCTGACTGAAGAGCTGTCCAGTCTTCGTTTCATTCTGTTTGACCCCGGTTTGTGCAGCAATACAAACTACGTTGCCCCCCAAACCCCACCCCGCTCTTACAGCCCCCCCCCACTGTTCTCGCATGATACTACGATGCCCCCCTGACCCCACCTCACCCGCCCCGCTTTTACAGCATTACCCCCGTTTGTCACACGATACCGAGGTGGCTTGCAAA